TATCCAAATCGTTGATGATCCCGAGGGGCACCATCAAATCTATCATAACCAAAGGGAAAGAACATGGCACAACAGCAAACCTGCCAAGAGACGGCCACCCACCAAAACTCATGGACCGGGCAAGGAGGGCATTAATCAGAGAGGCAAGACAGAGACCTAAGGTAACCTTGGAGGGGCTGCAGAGTTCAACATCAGAGACTGGTGTATCTGTACATAGGACGTCAATAAGTCGGACGCTCCATAGAGTTGGGATTTATGGCAGAGTGGCCAGAAGAAAGCCATTACTTTCAGCAAAAAACAAAATGGCACATTTTGAGTTTGCGAAAAGGCATGTGGGAGATTCCCAAAATGTATGGAGGAAGGTGCTCTGGTCTGATGAGACTAAAATTAAACTTTTTGGCCATCAAAGAAAATGCTATGTCTGGCGCAAACCCAACACATCACATCACCCAAAGAACACCATCCCCACAGTGAAATATGGTGGTGACAGCATCATGCTGTGGGGATGTTTTTCAGCAGCCGGGACTGGGAAACTGGTCAGAGTTGAGGGAAAGATACATGGTGCTAAATACAGGGATATTCTTGATCAAAGCCTGTACCACTCTGTGCGTGATGTGAGGCTAAGACGGAGGTTCACCTTCCAGCAGGACAATGACCCCAAACACACCGCTAAAGTAACACTTGAGTGTTTTAAGGGGAAACATGTAAATGTGTTGGAATGGCCTAGTCAAAGCCCAGACCTCAATCCAATAGAAAATCTGTGGTCAGACTTAAAGATTGCTGTTCACAAGCGCAAGCCATCCACCAGTTTTGCAAGGAGGAATGGGCAAAAATCCCAGTGGTAAGATATGGCAAGCTCATAGAGACTAATCCAAAGCGACCTGGAGCTGTGATTGCCGCAAAAAGTGGCTCTACAAAGTATTGACTTTACTTTTTCTGTTATTTTGTCCTATTTGTTTTTTTTGCTTCACAATAAAAATAAAAAATAAAACATCTTCAAAGTTGTGGGCATGTTCTGTAAATTAAATGATGAAAATCCTCAAACAACCCATGTTAATTCCAGGTTGTGAGGCAACAAAACATGAAAAATGCCAAGGGGGGTGAATACTTTTGCAAGGTACTGTACCTCCACCCACACTGATATACACACCTGACACATAGATGCATACCCTGACACACAAATTTGACACTAATACAGACATATTTGCTGACATGCATACACACGCACATAGATACACACTATGATGCTTAAATTGTCACATACAGACACACATTCACTCACAATGATGGGCAGATACATATATTGGCACGGATACACGGTGACACACCATGCACAGAAACACACAATATCTTAATATAAATACAAATACACACAGAACTCACAATATCTTAATATATACATATTTTTAGCCACCCTCTCATTTCCATGGTGGTTGGTTTCCCTGGGGTCCAGTGAAAGCCGGCTGGGGCTGATTGGAGTGTGCTCTGGGTGGTCCAGGCTCTCTTTCTGCCTTCTCTTCCTCTTCCTCTTTTTACCCCCCCATGACGTTTTGTGATAGGAGAAAAGTAACTGCACAATAGGGCAGCCTTGATGGCGGCTCTTTCTGTAAGTGTCACAAATATATATACATTATTTTATTTTTTTTCCTCTTTTTTTTTCCTTATAATTTAATGTCATCTATAATTCATATCAATCAGGTAGGTTCTACCTGTAAAAGTAAACTCAGTGTAGACCATGGGTCGTCAACCTGGTCCCTACCGCCCACTAGTAGGCGTTTCAGGATTCCAGGTGGGCGGTAGGGATTTTCAAATTTTGAGAGATTGGGTGGGCAGGCGGGCGCGAGCCGGCGGTACCCCTGCGACCGGGTACCACCACCACCACTTGCGGCCCCGGCCCGCGCGGCAAACCACCGGGGCCGCACATGGAGGGGTTCATCGGGGGGCCCATGCTGTCAGGGCCACCTGATGGATGTGGATTGTGAGGGGGCCCCTGTCAGCGCTGGGCGCTTTAACAATGCGACCGGGCCCCCTGTGATTACATCACAGAGCTGGGAGGAAGTGACTGCACGTCACTCCTGCCAGCTATCACACAGACCGCGCGGGAGGAAGGTGGAGGGAGTCAGAGTGGGAACTGGACCCCAGGGAAAGTCACCCTCCTGCACCTAAAAGGTAGGAAACATCTTTTAAAGCGCCACAGCGCCTGACCGGGCCCCTGCTCACACAGGCCCACCGGGTGGCCCTAAGTGCATGGGCCACCCGATGGGCCCCCATAGTTTGCGGGCAGAGGGCAAAAGGAGCAGCTGTCTTGGGCCCCTCAGCTGGGACAGGGCCCGGGGCAGCTGCCCCGTTTGCCCTGCGTTAAAGACGGCCCTGGTCTTGTGTGTGTGTCTGTATGTATGTATGTGTGCCTGTCTGTTATAGTGGGCTATAGTAAGTAATAGTAAGTGGGATACCTAGCTCAGCCTTCCTATTGGGCATTGCTATAAGGAAGGTTAAAAAATGTAAAAAAAAAAGGGGTGGGGGAGGGTGGGAATTGAAGAGGGAGAGGAGGGAAGCTGACAAACAGATGAGAAATCATATTATGCGCAAACAGAGAAGTCGTCTGAATATCACCAAAAGAGGAGACCTTCGTTTGTTCCTTACGAAAACCGAACCAGATATCAAATATTTAGTCTTGCAGCATCAACCTCAAGGATCTCATTAATAACTAGTAAAGGTAATTTCAATTTACTTTATTGTTCTCTCATTAAACTTTATAAAGTTAAAAACATTATAAACATGCATTAAGTAGAAATAAAAAGAATAATGTAATTATAATATAATAATTTTTTTTTAAAACACCCTCCTTTCGAAAAAATATTCTGCACTTGCGCAAAAACTGGTGGGCAGTATGGAAATGTTTTCAACCAAAAAGATGTGGACCGGGGAGGAAACAGGAGGGTGACTAAAATATTTTGTGTGTGTTTGTTTGTGTATGTGTCTTTGTATGTATGTCTTGTGTGTTTCTGTCTGTATGTATGTGTCTGTATGTGTGTGTATGTAAGTGTGTCTTATGTATGTGTTTTTGTATGTATGTGTGTGTCTTTGTATGTGTCTTGTGTGTGTGTGTGTGTCTGTCTGTCTGTATATATGTGTGTGTGTGTCTGTCTGTATATATGTGTGTATGTATGTGTGTCTTGTCTTTGTATGTATGTGTTGTGTGTGTATGTGTCTTTGTATGTATGTGTGTCTTGTGTCTGTCAGTATGTGTGTATGTGTCTTTGTATGTATGTCTTATGTGTGTGTCTTTGTATGTGTGTGTCTGTATGCGTGCCTGTCTGTGTTTGTGTCTGTATGTGTGTGTGTGCCTGTCTGTCTGTATGTATGTGTGTCTTGTGCAGGGCCGTCTTTAATTCTGATTGGACCCTGGGCAAGCATTAACTTGGGCCCCCTGACTACATATAGATACACACAAATACAAAACCTGACACACATGCAGATACACACTGACCGCATATAGATACACACAAGAACATACAGATACACACAGACTACATATAGAGCACTGACACACAGATAGACACAAACACAGATACACAACCTGACAAACATGCAGATACACAGATACAAACACTGATACATGCAGATACACTGACACACATACAGACACACAGATACACAGATACACAACCTGACACACATGCAGATATACATATACAAACACGGACACATACAGATACACACTGACTATATATAGATACACACACAAACACAAACGGACAACATACAGATACAAAGGCCCATTCTGACAGACGTACTGACACAGAGACACACACAGACAGCCATACTGAAACACACATACACACAG